ATTATATACATAAAATACAGAAAAAGAACGAATAAAATGAAACTACATCATAAAAATGTGTGAAATAAGAAAAAATAAAGGTAAGATTAAAAGAAGGAAAGAGCCCTGGCCGGTTTGGCTCAGCGGTTAGAGCGTCCGCCTGCGGTCATGGAAATATTCTTCAGATTTTCCTTAAAATAAAAACATGGGAAGATTTTTTTTTTTTTTTTTTTTGCTTTCTATTAGGTGGTCTGGCCTGGAACAGGCTGAAAGAGTTTAATTGGTATTCACTGACATAAGTCTTAGCCCAAGTCGCAAGGCGGTTAAAGGCCCTCCTAAATCTTACATGATAGTCAACTCCCTGCTGTCCAAAGGCCAAGTACCAGTCTACTGTCCTGACACGATGCCTCTGACAAGCAAAGATAGGACCATGGTGGGAAAGGGCCCACTGATACCTTTCTTGAGGTTTTCTTTACAGTTTGGACCAATACATATCAAAGAGATAACAGCAGAGGGTCTGGGCATTTCTTGGTAAGTCAAGGGAGTTTATTAATTCATTTGATGCCTTTTATTCTCTATTAAAAGAGATAATGAGGCATAAATGAAATTTCCTAATAGCCAGTGTACTGATACACATACACATGAATATAGAGAGAAAGATCGTATTAATGTAAAAGGGATTTTTCAGGTTTCCCTTCACATGCAGGCTGCCCAGTTGTCCTCTAGGGGCGCTATGATCTTTTTTTATTGTGTGTGTGTGTATGTTTTCTTTTTTTAAATTGATTTTTTAGAAAGAGTAGAAGGGAGAGAGATAGAAACATAGATGTGTGAGAGAGAAGCATCGATCGGCTGTCCTGCACACCCCCCTACGGGGAGTTGAGCCCGAAACCCAGGCATGTGCCCTGACCAGGAATTGAACCGGGAATTCTCAGTCTATGGGATTATCCCCAATCCACTGAGCCACATGAAACAGTGTGTATTTTAACATATTTCTATGCCAGAGAAATGTTGAGATGGTATCCAGATTATTCTGTCTAGTACTGTTATTTTATAGTAGAAAAGGAAATAAAAGTATTGATTTATTGTCCCCAAGATCAGATAGTTAAATCTGAACTAGAGTTAGGACTAAAATCCAAATCTTTTAGTAGTCAAGTCTTCTTTGCAGTACATTTCTCTTTCAAATATTCCTTAAACTCTCTAGCATAATTTAAAATTTTTTACTACTAAATATTGATTAACAGTTACTTTTTGAGCTCCAGTTATTTATATGTAGTATTTTAACTACTTATCTGGTTATGGGTTAGAAACACACACAATAAATCTTTTCACAAAAATTCCTAATGGTGTTGCTGGGCACCCTCCCAACATTCCCCTCCATCTTTCCTAACCTTCCCTAGGCCCTCGGCAGGAAAATATCTAAGCAAATAGCCATGACTCAGTGTATGTTTTGTAATTTAAAATAAGTCTAGAAAAATCACCATTTAAATGTTATTTATAATATTCTTACACATTAAGTTTTTCAACATAGAAAATTAAAAATAGAAAAGTGACCTATTATCTCACTACTTTGCTAACTCCTGTTGACTTGTTTTTCAATAACATACAAATACACCATAAGAAAATTCAAATACTGCAGAAAAATAAATAGTAAAAATAGTAGGTAGGAATTCTTAGTTTGCTCCTGGGACTTGCCCCTAATATACACATCACCAACAAATTCTTGTCTTTCTAGAAAAAAATATTGTACACAATTGCAGATGTTTTTCTTAATGCAACACTATATACAATGTTCTGTGCCTTTCTTTTTAATTTTTCTGAAAATTATATCTAAAAGCTTTTTTGATATTGCAACCTAAAAAATTATTTCTTTTTGAAAGACTTTCTATTGTTTCATTATAGAGTGTTTTGTTATTATAAAGAATGCTGAACAGTATCTTATATCTTGAATGTTTTTGTGAGTGTATCCACAGAGTAAATTCCCAGTAGTAGAATTGAAACCGGACAACAAATGTGTCCAGGCTGACGCGCTGCTTTCCCATCTTGCCGGCAATATTGGAATAAATGCTCATATGTGATTCCATCTTGTCTCTGCTTAATTGGTTCAAGTAGTGACAGGTGGCCCAGACCCATTCGTTGTCCAGTTTTATATTTACTAGGAATGATCATGTTATTCCCCAGCAAAAACCCTTTAATATCCCTTCACCCCCACTGCAGTTTAGAATCAAATCCAAGTTTTGCCTTGATTTCCCAGGCTGTAAAGACCTGGCTCCCACCTGCCTCTCCAACCTTTCATTAAGGACCTGGAGACACACAGGTCTTTTGCTCTTCTACAATCTCAATCCTCTTTTGGACTTGCTGTTGCTTCTTGTAACACTGCAACAGATGGCTGTCTCTTAGTTATTGTAACTCAAAGTTACCTTCTCCGTGAAGCCTTCAGGGTTTATTTATTATTGTTATTACTATTATTATTATTATTAATCCTCACCCCAGGACATTTTTTGCATTTATCTTCAGATAGAGCGGGAGGGAGAGGGGGGGGGGAGAGAGAGAGAGAAACATTGATGTGAGAGAGATACATCGAGTGATTGCCACCCACACAACCCCAACCGGGCCGGGGACAAACTGCAACCAAGGTACATGCCCTTAGCGGGAACTGAACCCAGGACCCTCCGGTCTGCCTGCGGGCTGACGCTCTAACCGTTGAGCCAAACCAGCCAGGGCAAGCCTTCAAGGTTTAAATGGACAGACACTTCACCCCTTCACATCATGCAGTTTAATTTTAATCTTAACACTTCACTATTAATCATTTTGTCTTCCCCTCTGGAACGTGAGCTCCAAAAGAACAGGATCCTTGTCACTTTTCTTCCCCACTGAGTCACAAGAGCTCCGAAGAGCACAGGCTCCAGAAATACCTGGTGAATGAGTGGTCAAAGGTTAAGTGAATTGAAAATGATCATACAGGTTGCTGAATTGCTTTCCAGATAGCCACCAATTGTTACTGCCACTGACAGTGTCCATTCTGTATACTCTCAACAGCCCTTAGAACTATCAAGCATTTACCATTTTTGTAATCATCCACTTTAAGAGTTAAGAAATAGGAACATATCTCTCACTTTGAAGTAATTTCTCTTTAGACATTATTAAGAACAAACAGATATTTGTTTTTAACATAACCCCAAATCCATCGTTGGAAAACAAATAGGCAGTCACAGACACTATTTGAATAAGAAACATGGTAAGTAAAAAAAGAATGTCTCAGACTAGTATGAAATTGATGTAATGACTAGTAAGAGTATAGAATTTAAAAATTGAATCCTTTAAAGACAAAAGTAGGACTTACCCTTGCAACATATGTTAAAATTGCAACATACTGTAAACTGGTAAATTTCTTTTTTATCTTCCTATTTTCTTCATAGTTTTTAAATCAATCTTTCATTCACATTACACATATTTTTTGAAAGCCCAGATACTGTGCTAAAATCCTTTTCTCATCAGGCCACACCCACCTTCCAAAGCCCAATGAGGCCAAGTGTTTGGGCCTGAGGTTGTTTTTTGTTTGTTTTTTATTTGGTACCTGCCCCTAGAGGAACCAAACCTACTACTCTCCGGTGGTGGTAGGTCGACCCTCCAACCGCTGAGTCAAACTGGCCAGGGCTTTTGGCCTGAGATTTACCTTCAATGAGAATTGTACTGCAGAAGTCTCTAGAATGACAACACTTGAAAAGTCCATACAAGGGATCTAAGATAAATTAATTTGCTAATCATCAACCAGTCTAGTCCTTTGATTAAATAATTTTGTAGTGGATGTTAAAAACTCCTTTAATTTCTTATTATACCTTTCTCCTTGACAGAGATGTTTCTCCTACTCCCCACTTTTCAGTGGTTCACAAGCACTTGACTTTGAATGAAAATACCATGTTTTCGGACTACCTGGGAGGTGGGGAGCCACCCATAAGAGAAAGAAAATGTTCTACCTGGTCCTAATGTCTACCTAATTTTTAAAACATAGGTTCCTGATTGTTGTATTTTAAGTTTACAATAATAATATAATCAATAGATTATATTATTAGATGCCTTTATGTCTCATATTTCATTTTTCCTAACTTGTGGGGAATGAGTGGAGGGATGGACCCAGTAGAAAATACTTTTTCCTCTAAGAAAAGAAAGGGGGGCATATATAGAAGCTGGGCTAAAACACTGTTGTGAGACTGGGGGTTCAGTAGGGGTCAACACTAGATTTAGCAGTCTACTTAAACAAGTATGTTCCACCAACTGGACATCAAATGAAGCAAAATTTCTCATGGATACAAATAAAGTTTTTGCATTGGACCAGTTAGTCCAGTTTTCCTATCTGATAACTTCCTTCCCCCTTTGTCTCTCTCGGTTCACTAATTCCACCCCTCCCGGTACCCAAAACCCTCCACTGATCCTATTTTCCTCTTTGGGCTACTACTTTTCACTCTTGACTTTCCACCATCCTCATCTTCAGCATCCCCAGCCGGCAAGTGATTAAGGAGCTCTGAGGGCTTCCTGCCCCCACTTTTAATAGAATCAAAACCAAAGCCTTGGGGTGGGAACCTAGAGGGTAGGGCGGGGCAAGGAGGTTGGAAGAACATTTACATGTAATCTCGGCTTTAATTTGCTAGGAGTTCTTACAAGACAGCTGGCAGGTTTTACTATTTCCTGTCGCCTACTTGGCCAACCTCGCGGGGACTTGCGCCTCCTTGCTGCGCCCTGCACGCCGAAACTACATTGAAATGCAAGGCTAGGACGCCCACGAGGTCGGTACTGGGGATGGTGGCTGACCTTGAGATCGGTTACTTCCACTTCTTGTCCTTCTTCCAATTCCCTACTCACCTTTGCTTAGGCATAACGCCCGCATGGGCAGGAGAGGTCTCGCGCTCCCTCTCTCCCTCGCAAAGGGTTAATTTTTCCAATCGCACGAGGGGGAGGAGATTTCCCTGTAGACTAGTAAAAAGGGTGATGGACAGACGTGCGGGCACTAAGACCGCAAGGCATTCATTTCCTCCTACGGTGGATGCGGACGCGGGGAGGAGGAGAGCCCCAGAACGGGTGAGGAGCACAGGCAACACTCAGCCCTGGATGTAGCTGAGAGATTGGGAGAGACCGACGACCGCCGCGATTTAGCGGCGAGAGGAAGACCTGGGGGGCGGGTGGGGGAAGCATAACACTTGAAACCTAGCGCTTTACAGATTATTTTATTTTGTGTAGAGAACACATAGCGACTCCGAAGATCAGCCCCAATGAACATGTCAGTGTTGACTTTACAAGAATATGAATTCGAAAAGCAGTTCAACGAGAATGAAGCCATCCAATGGATGCAGGAAAACTGGTAGGTGATGCTTTCGCGTGATACTGTGTCCAGGAGCCCAGCGCGTCTTCTCCGTGTGCCTTGATGTCTGTGTTCCCCGCGTGGGAGTGAATGGAGCCGGGAGTCGCGGGCCGCAGAGAGCCGGCCCCTGAGACACCGGCTGCCTGAAGCTCGTAGGTCTGGGTGCCGCTGTGCGAACCTTGGCTACACATACATCTTTAACACAGATTATATAACATGGAACATATATGTGCTCATAGAGTAGATGTTTGCGCCGCGGAGAAGCCACAGTCCAGGTTCCCTACCTGTGCTGCCTCCGGGCTTTCATCTAGAGGGGTTTTCTTGCTTGGCCTCCCGCAATCGGAGTGTGCAAGGCGGAGGAGGAGAACCGGGTCTCCGGCTCCGTTTAACCCTCTCCCACCCGCCGGCCTCGGTTCTCTGGTCCTCTCCCTCTTCCCATCCCTCGCGTCCTTCCTTTCTCCTTGCAGCTCTCCCACTTCTCTGCCCTCTGTGCGCTTCCCAGCCGTTTCCCTCCTTTCCTGGACCCCTTTCCCCACGCGGATCCTTTCCGGTTTCATAAAGAGGGGGGGAGGGGCACACAATGAAAACAAATACAAATGAATGAACCCAAGCGATTGGAGCCGTGCCATTAAGTTTGTTTTACGGAAACGCCTTTTGGACACACTCCGTTCTAATTCGGTGGGAGGCTGCTGGGTGGAGTTGAGACAGATTAAATCCCCTGGGTCCGCAGCCCTTAGGTGCTCTTCCCCAGACAAATGTATAATCGAGGAAAGCATGCCTTGTTTACTGTGTTCCCTCCACCAGTCCTTTTGAAAATCCCTGTGTGGGAGGCGATCTTGTGTCACCTTGCAATATTTAACAGAGTAGGGCGTGCTCCTCTCCTTGTAGACGGAGCTGCTGTGGCAGACATTGTCTCTCGCCTTCACCCCGGCTCTGGTCATCAGTAAAGTGCTAGCCGAACGCACTCGGAGCTGGGCAGTGGCCCGCCGCCTCCCGGGTGTTGTAGGGGAGGGGGATTCGGGTGGAGGAGGCTCCGGGGCTCAGGGGGACCCCGCCCGCCGCGTGCCCCCGGCCCTTACGACCTGCCTCCCTCCCCCTCGGCTGTGGGAAACCAGAGATGTGCGTGTGTGGGGGGGGGGTGTCCAGGTGGTTGGTGCACTGGGAGGGCTGCCTCGGCTGGAGCCCCGAGAGGGTTAACTTCCTTCCCTCGGGCCCCCTGGAGGAGCGAGGAGCCTCAGGTGATTCGGCCGCGGCTCCGGCTTCCGCCTGCCGGCCGGAGGGCTGGCGGCTTGTGGCGCCGGGGCTGGAGCGCGGGGCCGGAGGCCCGCAGGGGGCCGGGGCCGGAAGCCGGGAGCCGGGAGCCGCGCGGTCCGCTCGGGAGGCCGGGAAGCGAGGCGGACGGGCACTGGGGGCGCGGGCTGGGCCCCTCCTGGGCCGCGGAGGCCGAGAGCGCCAGGGACGGTGGTGGTGGGAGGAAGTTGTATACCGCGAGGCTCGAACCGCCGAGCGTCTAGACCCTGAAAGGCCCGGGCGCTGGGAAAGCCGAGCCCCTGGCCCGCGGACCTGCTCCATCCAGATGTACTTCCTCTTCCCGCGCAGGGGGTGGTGCTGACGGCAAGTTGGGGGCGGTGGCCCGCCAGGCCGCCAGGGCTCCGGGCTTCGTTTGTTCTATCTCATGCAACACGACTCGAGCCCATCTTCCTCCCCCCATGAGCCTCGTGTGCTCTGTGTTTTCTGAGGTCGGCGTGTCTCCAACTTGCTGCACCCGAGGGGAACCTGCCTTCTGGAGCCGGCCGTCGGCCAGCCTCCCTTGCACCGCCGCGGCCAAGATTGCCTTTGCTCCGAGGTCACTTTCTGGGCTTCCTCCGGGTACCATTTCCCGCCTCTTTTCTCCATTCACTCAACAAGTGCACACTAAGCCAGACAGGGCCTCGCCCTCTTGGGACTGAAACTGGCGAAAATGCGCCAATTTCGCTTCGCTTATTGGGCTCTGACCACTGTTTCCTCCCAGCTCCTTATCTGTACTTTTCATCTGGCAATTTCTTTCCTGGCTTTTCTTTATATATACGAATATTTGCAGATATGTCTGTGCCTCCTACCAGACCGTCAGCTCTTAGGGGTATATAGTTCTTGTCTCATTCCACTCTAGATGACCCCCAGCACCTCAAAGAAGGCTTTGCACATGGTACGTGCTGGGGAAAAGGCTTGTCCAGTAAATTATAAAATGATAATCGGTGCCCACTTTATTACCAGCACTGCCTGTTGACATCTGAAGCTTATCTTATTTGTCCTCCCCCTGCCGTTTTGAATACTTTGTCACTGTCCCATACAGGGATTTCCTCCTCCCTGCCTTTTTCTCTCTTTGTTGACTTGGTGGGTTGTTTTTTTGTTTTTGTTTTGGCTTGCTTATTGCAGTAAAAAACAGCGGGGAAAAAACCCTGCTGGCTGTTACTCCTTACTTGCAAGTCTCCCTGACCCTAATTGTCTTGCTTTCTTCTTTTACTCCAGAGTGTGTGCAGTCCAATTTTATAAACCTCCCTTCCATAACCACAATAGCCAAAAAGTCTTGAAACAGGTGTATAAGAAAATGAAGATTTTCTTTCCGTTTCTTTTGTTAACAGGAGAAGGAAGCTCCATAACCAAGGCTTAGACCCTCTTGGGGGCAGGGGAAGTTTAGGAAACCGCAGTCTTAACTTTTCCAGACTCCTTAACTTAAAATGGTTTGAAATAGCTTCTGGAGGAAAGCACAATGCCCAGAAGCTTCTACTGTGTCTTTTGAGAGATCATTTGCAGTTGTCCTAAAAAAAAAAAGTCTTCTTGACAGAGACGCAAACAAAGCTTGTTAATTTAAAGAATTATAATTTATCTCTCAAAAATGAGTTAGGCTCTCTTTTCAAGAATTAGGAGGACTGCTAAGAGTGCTGTTTTGTCAGGATGTTGTCTGTACTACCTGGTATCATGTAAGAGGACCTTACGTAAAGGTAATTTATTAAACATATCTTATAATCCATATACATTGTCTTATTGCATATTAATGTAATAGCCCCTATTTTGAAGTAGTGTTGTATAAACACTAAAGGATCCAGCTGAGGCAAGTTTATCAAGTTTATTGTTGCGTTAACAAATGATTAACCCTATATTCATTGTTCTAGACACAGGATAAATAGTACTGACTTTTGTTTTATTAACCTTTTTAGCAAATAGTTTTACCTATAACAAATTAGAAAAGCAGTTGAAATGCAAGGGAATGTATTCCCTTGGACAGTCATCCTGACCCTCATCTTAAAACTACATGTCAAGTTAAAAATACCTGGGGTGATATTATCTGGTAAATGAGAGTTTATTGCATTAGGTAGAGAAAAATGACTGCTTTTATCCCAATAGCGATTTTGAGTTCCAATTTTACACACAAAGCACCTTGTGATTTTACAACATTGAAAAGAGGCATTTTGTTCTTTTATGAGATGTCTGGCCTTTACCTGCTATTCTCACTAATAGCTAACTTAATTTATAAAGGCTTCTAGCAAGGAGCAAAATCACCTAGTTATTGGTAAGGTGACATAAAATTCATAGAGTAGGAAGGGCAGCCTTCCCTTTCAGCAGCCTGCCAGGGCTGTGCTCACAGCAGCCTATGCTGCTTGCTCCAGTTGTAATTGTCTGGCCAATGATGAGTATCTTCTGATGTCGGCTGACATGGTGTTCACCAATAGGAAAGCAGGAGGCCTGTGCTGACTGCTGTAACATTATGTATGTGAAGCAGCGTCATCACAGGGCTTGCCTAGAACCTCATGAAACCCTCCCCCGCTCCCTCTGGCATCCTCCACATCCAGCTTTTCAATGCTTTGTATTTTTTCTGACTCTTTTCCCCTCCCTCCTTCCCTGGCAATGTTTATAAGACTTTTTATATTCTGTGTTCTGTATTATAAGGTCTATAAGAGAGTGTAGGAATTTTCAGAATTAAATACTGTCTGGCTAAGGAAACCTTTTAATCCACAAATTTGTTTTGACTAAGGGAAAACATTTAAAGAAACACTATTTAAAAGAATTGTATACCTATACATTTTTTTCCTTGTATGTAAAGTTTAGAAAGTAACATGATGTACAATTTCAGTATTAAAAAACATAACAGCATTATAAGCCTGTATTAATATTTTACTTACAATACAGCATCATAATATCTATCACACTTTAAAATACAAGCTGTTTTTCCTGTAGTGACAATTGCTTTGCATTGATCCCTAAAATTTTCCTGCAAACTGTTGTATGTATTCATAAGAAAAATGGCTGGAAAATAATTCAGTCTTGGTCATGAAACAGAAAAAGCTACAGAGTATCGTTTAATCAGTGACACTACAGCGAATATCAATTTGGTCAGCTGTTCAGGAAAGTACTGTGTTCATATTGTACTTGTTATGTTGCTTGCCACTTCTTTTGGAGAATCACAGTTCACATTAGCTTTAAGACTTCAACGTTCTGAGTGTGAGCAACTTAACCTGTCATTCAATAAACTTTACAACACTGGGATATTGGACTAATATGCACTAGGTTAAGAATTTGAAGAATGAGGAAAAGAAAAATGTGATCTATAATATACTAAAAATATAATAAAACCTAGTTTGGAAATTTTGATCTGAAAACTTTCATGTATCTTTAATGCATTGATGTATATTTCTGGAGTCTTTTTTATTATTATTAATTTAATTTTGTTACAGATGTTTCTCCTTTTTTCCCCATTGACACCTTCCTCCCCATCCCCCTGACCCCGTCCCCAGCTTTGTTGTCCATGTCCGTCGGTTATGCATACATGCATATAAGTTCTATGGTTTATCTCCCCACACACACACGCCCTCTTCTGAGGGTGGTCAGTCTGTACCCTACTTCCACATCTCTAGGCCTACCCTGTTCTTTAGACTGTTATGTTCATTATATTCCACAAATAAGAGAGATCATGTGATATTTGTCTTTCTCTGCTTGGTTTGTTTTGCTTAGGATAATACTCT